CAAAAGGTGAGGCATCTAGGAGGTCTGAAAGTGACTGGAACAGGTGATCGTGGATGGGTAGTCTATAAGGTATAGGTATCGGTGTGGAGTCTTCAATACCTTTCAATATGGCTTTAACCTGGTAGGATGACAGGAAGTGTTACTTATTAGGCCTTGTGGTGAGTAAATGGTGTTGAATGCCGGTATGGTAAAATTTAATGTATTGAAGGATAGCTTAAGGTGAAGGTGGCAAAAGGAAAAAGGAAGTTTCCATAGAGAATTTGTCTATAATGTGTCTATAATGTGGAACTCAAGCAAATATCTGTTGAAAATGTGAAAAGCCCTATAATAAGATTTCTTCATCGAAAGACATCTATAGCATTGTCAGTGGAAGCGTATTGGAGCGAAAATTCCTCAGATGGAATGAGAGAGTTAAGACTGGGTGTTGTAGTAACGTGGAGAGCAGAGAGGTCGATGATTAACCTTTGCTTATTGGAAGTTTTACCAGTGACTACACCTATGCAGTTAGTTCTCTACACGGAAAAGGGTGAAGAGTTCAATGGACCTAGTAAAAAACCCTGATCTACTTCTTTCTTGAGCAGCTCATGTCCTGCTAATCGCCAAGCGCCTTGAGAGGCTCTATCTATGAGTTGGCGCAAGTGGGATTTGTGGCCACAAATGCTGTGGCAGGGTGACTGCCTCTCGTGACATGTACAAGCATAGGACAGAATGGAGTGAGAATTGAGGCCCTCACTATGCAACCAAGCAAGGCGACTAACTATGATTTGGCCAGAGGGGTGAATGTACCTCTGAATTAAGGGTGGGTGATGGCCTCGTGGGACCACTAAGCTAAGGCATACAAGGCCTGGAAATAATTATCACTAGAGGCCTCCTATCCCTTCAAGCCAGTATGAACCTATTCTAAAAATCATAATGGAGTAAGGAGGTATGAACAGAAAAGAGATTGGCATACCTGATGGGCTACAGAAAAGGAGCAGGATCAGGTGAAAATGGCCTTCTGTAATAACCTATGAGAGTAATTGTAAGTTGTAGAACTTGTATCATAAATTACCGTTTACACCTCCTATTACAAAGATACCTACCGGTATATGCCTTGAGGAGAGTGTAACGGCACTAAATGACTCAAAAGGAGGCTTGGCTGGCCTAGAACCTAGTAATGTAGAAGAATTAAACATAAGGACCGGATACTAATGAGACCAGAAGTGACCAGAATAAATATAACCACTAACCTATATACACAGTGAAATGTGAATGTTATAATTCAGTGTATGAATATAAATTGATAATAGAACCATAGTTTTAATGTAACTTTAGTTAAGTCAACAGATCATACCTAGGATACGACCAAGAGACCTGGGAGACACTGACATAGCGGTGTCTAGAAAAGCATCATTCCAGAATTGACTAATAAATGTAACACAACCAATAAGCAAATGCTTGTATCTATTTAAACAATTATTTCTCATGCAACTAATAGACAAATTTAAATAACTACTTGCAATAACCAAATTTGACCACCAGAGGCTGCCATTTAACACAAAAATACATAGAGAAACCCACATTCAAATATGCATTTCAAGTCCATAGCTAACATAGGACATTCGGTTATAAATATATGAATGGCCATGCGGTGGCTAAGTTTCGTATATAACCGAAATGCTCCATACCAACGAAACCCATACGAAATTTAGAGTTAAAAAAAAAATAGATGACAAGTTATTTTTGCGCCGAAGAAGAGCGTTCATGCGCATGCCCCCGATAAAGCCAGCTAAACCTAATGAGCATGAATAGCTGGAAGTAGCTGAAAACCAAGCACTAAACCTAAGCGTTTGTATGGCCATTCATAAGGCCATGAACAGTTAATACCGAACAGAGAATTCTGAATAGGAGTCAGAACTGACCCAGCTTGACTTACATTTTTTACCGGATGCAGTGTTTAAAGCGACCGAATCTGTGTGGATGTCCTGTCAGGATACTGGAAGTCAGGAGCTTGCGGGACAGAAGACCAGGGACTGTAGAACAGGGAGAATGTTTCCACGAGATGCAGTTAAATAAATGGCAATTTGCACAGACCTGAAGTCACGTAATGCAAATTGCCAGACCTGAAACGGTGGTGAGGGGGGCTGGTGCTCCTTAAAGGGAAACTCCAGTGCCAGGAAAACAATCAGTTTTTCTGGCACTGCAGGTCCCCTCTGGGCTGCAGGTCCCCTCTGGGCTGTCAGGCAGTCCCCCTGAAGTGGATTGTGGTGGAGGTAAGTACCGCCTGGCTCCCAGGGCTGAAAGCTGTTACGGCGTTCCATGCCACTGCAACGGCTTGCTTTAAAGCCCATTGTAGCAGAGTGCTGGTCTTTCACAGACTATTTCCACCGGTAATCCAAATAAGGCTCAGGAACAAGTAATAAAACCCAAGAGAATAATATCCACGATTAATAAAGCAATCCAAAAGTATCCCACACGATTCCCAATGACTGGACGACCCACAGAATCAGGAGCAGAACTGAACTGAGGTTTAATTTCACATGCCTGCTTTTAAGCAATTCTCCCATGCAAAGGAGACACCCACAGTAATTATTACAGTAACCAATAAAATACATGTTACCTCCCTCACATCTCCTCCCCTCAGCATGACACATAATCCACTTAATCCATATACAGTATTTCCACAGTTCCTGGATGTACATACGATACAAAATCACCCAGATCGGACCAGGGGTTCGGGAGCTATGGAAGGGTAAAGTTTTGACCGACCGCACAGGTAGCAGTAGCCGAAAATAGTTCCATAAGGTTTGGCCTTGCGGTCGGTCTCAGTTCATGGATATAAACGGATGAAAATACCGAAAGGAATGGCTGTCGCTTGCCTTCATGTGAATTTCCTTGTTCGGATGAGACTTTCTACCGAACGGCAGCTCATTTGGTGGTTTCCGCACAAAGATATGGAAGTCTGGAGGTCTCAGCGGTGTTTGCTTAGTCGAGTGTCCGATTTGGGTTCCAGACACTCGAGTTAAGATGGCCGCCGCCACGTGTTCGTATCCCGAATGGCCGCCACCCATAGAACAAAGTACAGATTGCCAATTAGGGGTTTGCAACATTGTTACGAACGGTAATGAGAGGCACACTTATCCCTGGGGTGGTCTGCATATTCGGTAGTTTCACTTGAACAATAAACGGAATGATTTTACCGAACAATCAGGTGAATGATGCATACAAGGTGAATACATTATACAAGCAATACACGAAAGCATATTAAAACACACAAATTTTGAGGACAGCCTTAATGCAATCCGCTACACCCATTATTAGCTACCTCTCCACATGCCTTGGTAACACATCTTGCTTCCTCTCCTGCATCTATGTCATCAAAAAATAATCTTCATTGTAGACTGGAATGAGCATGCGTGAACAATGGCTACTTCACTGTACTAGTCAGTGGGGTGCTAGATGCCATTGAGTGAGCATGTGTAAGGGGTGGCTGTATACATCTATAGGTGAGTTTTTAAGCAGGCAGCAAACACTGAAAGTAAGGGATACCCTACGCCCCTCACTGACAAATAGAAAGCGAAATAATACAGAACATATATACAGGTTGCGCCAAAATAAAAAGTCCAATAAAACATCAAATGCTTGGAATATTTTTTCCTTGCAATCGTCCAAACTTCAGATGGTGGGAGGTGATGGTGCAGAGTATCTAGTGCTAACTGCAGGACACACAACAACAAAATATATGATGCAGCACTCACATTTAATAGTGCTATAAAACCAGCTCTGAGTAAAATAGCATACAGCGGTACAATCCCCGCTGATGGATATGTTGTTCTTGGAGTTAATCACTCTGCATATAGGTGAATATATAAAAATACAAAAGGCAGAAAATAGGGCTCTCTGTAAAGTATACAATAATTAATAAAAAAGTAAAAATAACCTACTCACATTTAATGGAGCAGTATACACCAATAAGGTATTAATATTTGGGTGCTACAATCCCCACCAGGGATGTAATGTTGAGTAGGTCCTCGAAAGAATGGTTCTTCCCAGGGTATAGGTAGCAGGTAGGTATTATGATGATATAAACATGCCAGGAACACTAGAAGATTGAAAGAACTAAAACAAACTAAAATAACTTAAAAGCATAAAAAAGTATAAAAATTGATCAAACACATAGGGTAAGTGAATGCCAAATATACTTTAATGCTTTAAATGACTGATGTAAAATAACACAAAGCGTTTTGTCAGCCAAGGACTTTTTCAAGTGTAAGTAGAAGAGCATGTTAGGGTTTATATAGGGTGATTTGAGATTCAAATGAAACAAATTGGTGCCAAAATTATGTCATCAGTGACCTTTGACCTCAGCTGGGGTCACATGATAGGTCCAAAGGTTAACAGAAAGGTTATTACTTTAATAACTTACAAAAAAGCAAAAGAAAAAAACAACAACATATATTACACAAAATGCACATGATTCTTAAATATCATTATGGAGAGTAAATTCACTTATGATTCTTTTAGAACAGGTCACATGACCTCAAATAGTTATAAGAACAACTACCAAGAACAACTACCAATAGATAGAAAGATGGATGACAACAAAATAATTAATCTATCTAATTTTGCTTTGCAACCTGGACACGTATCTCTTTTAAATAAAGGTTTATCCTATGTTCCAACACCCTCAATAAATATGTGTCACGACACTCCTTAGTTTATATGCCTTCGTGTAGCTACCTCTCCACATGCCTTGGTAACACATCTTGCTTCCTCTCCTGCATCTATGTCATCAAAAAATAATCTTCATTGTAGACTGGAATGAGCATGCGTGAACAATGGCTACTTCACTGTACTAGTCAGTGGGGTGTACTAGTCACTGTTTGGCACTGTTCCTAATTTCTTTTCATTAGCACTAGTGATGTCCCGAACGGTTCACCACGGATGGTGAACATATGCACTGTTCGGTCCACCTCCTATGTCATCATTGAGTAAACTTTGACCCTGTACCTCACAGTCAGCAGACACATTCCAGCCAATCAGCAGCAGACCCTCCCTCCCAGACCCTCCCACCTCCTGGACAGCATCCATTTTGAATGCAGCTTCACAGTGAGCTGTCCAGGAGGTGGGAGGGTCTGGGAGGGAGGGTCTGCTGCTGATTGGCTGGAATGTGTCTGCTGACTGTGAGGTACAGGGTCAAAGTTTACTCAATGATGACGAATAGGGGGCGGATCGAACAGCGCATATGTTCGCCATCCGTGGCGAACCTTTCGGCGAACTGTTCGGGACATCACTAATTAGCACTTCACCTGGTCCTTGTTTAGCACCTTTATATTTATTTATTTATTTAAAGGGATAGTGCTGTCTCAGGGCAGCACCCCTTCCTGTCATGACAATATGTTTAACTGGGCAAAAGATGTAAATCTCTATGGTCAGAAATTGGCCCTCCATGCCTTCCATGAGAAGAGAGATCTCAGAACAATGAAGGAAATGGAATTATCCACAGATGATTACGAACTATATAAACTCTTAACAGACCTTTACACTGAACAAGAACTTTTGAGTACCCGTACAGACTTTAAATCTCTGAGTTGGTTCACCCCTAACCTAAAAGAATTCCCCTTTATTGACTTGTTTGTTCAAATTTGTATGAATGAACTTGAAAAACAAACCAATACACAAACACATATATCGAACCTCACTTTTTGTGAAAGACAAGCCCTACTGGAACTACAACAGCAAACTGATATTGTCATCAAGTCTTCGGACAAGGGGGAAACATCGTCCTCATGAACAAAGACCAGTATATTGATATGTGGATGACTCATTTGGCAGATGAAACCTCGTATCAAATACTTAAGGGAGATCCCACCGTTATTTACTTTAAGGATATCAAAACAATTGTACAAATGGCATTGATGAATGAAATCATCACAGAGAACGAATGTAGATACATAGTCTCGCAGTCCAATATAACTGTAGCTACATTCTACTGCCTCCCAAAGGTGCACAAGAATCTACATAAATCACCTGGCAGACTGATTGTGTCCGGTAACCACTGCCTTATTGAGAGAGTTAGTAAGTTCCTGGATAAGCTACTTCAACCTTTGGTACAAAAAAAAGTTCCCATATATGTGATAGAAAACAAACACTACTGGCTTTAGAAAACCTAAACTGTACACCCATACACGTCACTAGCCAGTTTGGACGTAGTAGCTTTATATAATAACATCCCACACAACAAAGGTCTACAAGGCTGTGCTTACTTTCTCACCAAATCTACAGACTTTAATGAACAGGAAAAATCATTTGTTTTCTCTCTCCTCAGATTTGTACTTACAACAACTTTGCGTTTAACGGAAAGTACTATCTACAACTGAGGGGAATGGCAATGGGGTTTTCCTGTGCACCTTGTTATGTCAACCTGTTTCTGGGTTGGTGAGAGGAAACTATAGTGAACACAGCAATGAACAGCAGATTCACTGCATCTATATACAAATGGTACAGGTATATAGATGACGTGTTGATCTTCGGAACTGGTTGACACACTAAACAAGAGATGGTTGACACACTAAACAAGAACACCATAAATCTACAACTTACCCATGTCATTAATGAGAAGGAACTAGTCTTCTTGGATCTAAAAATCAAGATCCTAGAACATGTGAAGTCACTACCACTCTCTTCAGAAAACCCACTGCCACAAACAGTTTATTACATTGGCACAGTTTCCATCCTTACCATCTAAAGGCCAACATTCCATATGGCCGATACATAAGAGCTAAGAGAAACTGCTCCATTCCTGAGCACTTAGAAAATTAAGCCAGAGAACTCAAAAGTAGATTCAAAAGTTTGGGCTACCCAAATAAGATACTTAAAAGAGCCTACCAGAGAACTAAAGTGGTTGATAGATCTGAGAATCTACATAGACCCTCTAGAAATACCTCAACATCCTCTGGCATTACTAGATTCATAGGCATGTATGATAAACATTGGGACTTAGGACAACAGGTTTTCCAGAAAAACTGGCCACTATTGCAATATGATTCTGCTTTAAAGAATACTATTGTGAACCAACTGTAACGGATCACCTGGCACCCCGACTGGGTACCTCCGTTGAAAGATGCTCCTAGCGCTTCCAGAGGACTCCAAGCACTCCACCAGACACCATAAGCACCGCAGGCTGCAGCTATCTCCCTTCAGAACGAAGCAGGAACAAGCTCTTACAAGAGCTCAGTGATTATAGCAAGGGAATATGCCTAGCATAGCAATCCCTTGTAGCAGATTCCCCCAATAAGAGACAGGACTCAAGTTGAGGGTAAAAATAGAACTCTCTCTGCTGGTGGAGAGGCGGACCAGCTGTCTCCCCTTTCATTATTTTGTCCTGCTGCTGGGGTGTGAGACTGACAGTCTCTGCTCCCTGCAGGACACACTGCCGCTGAGGAGGAAGGACGACACCTTCAGCTCCCTGGGGTACACACTGCCGCTGGGGAGGAAGGACGACACCTTCGGCTCCCTGGGTTACACACTGCTGCTGGGGAGGACGGACGACACCATCAGCTCCCTGGGGTACGCACTGCCGCTGGGGAGGAAGGACGGCACCTTCCGCTGGGGCAGCCTGTAGAAAGTCAGGCTCAGGGGAAGGAAACAAGGGAGGACAGAGGCCAGCGGCGCTCTGCCCAGTTGCCAGCTCTTCTGCTGGGGGTCAGGGAACAAAGGAGTTGGCTGGGGAGGAGAAATATCACTTACCTCCCCCTGGTACTCCGGCTGCTGCTGGGGGGGGAGGTCGATGCTCTCCACTTTCTGTAACTCCAGCTCTAGTTGGGGATCTGGGCCGGTTGCCCAGCATCCCTGTAGGGCCGGTGGAGAGATCTCGGTCCCATCTCCACCTGCCTGCAGGGGGTCCTCCCAGGACCAGTCTATGAGGTCCTCTACCTCGGGTACCTCTGGTTGCTGTTGGGGAGGGAGACCGGTTGTCTCTTCCTCCAATAACACATTCTGCCGCTGGGGAGTGAGACCGACTGTCTCCCCTCCCTGTAAAACATACTGCCGCTGGGGATCTGGGCCGGGTGCCCAGCATCCCTGTAGGGCCGGTAGAGAGACCTCGGTCCCATCTCCACCGGCCACCTCGGTTTCTTCCTCGTCCCACTCTACCTGTGGCTGGAGTTTCTCCCAACGTGCCCACTGGCCTTCCCTCAACGCCCTGTGTTGTAGGTTCCGGGTCACCATGTCCCACACGAACCGCACGTATTTCTCCTCTGGATTGGGTCCGTAAAACTTCAGGTGCAACCCTACCATCGTGCCAAACTCTAGTACGGAGTAGCTATACGCCATGCTTGCTGTAGCCACTGCTGGTTCCATTATGTTGCTGAAGATAAGGACGCTGCACAACTCCACACGATACCGGTGTCTCCGAGCTGCTTCTCCTCGCACTAGGATGCCATCCCGCCGCTTGCCACCAATTGTAGCGGAGAGGCAGTATGATCCACGATATCTCCGCTGGGTAACAGGAACAACAAAGGATAATCCAGGGAATCAACATATAATAATCCAAACAGCACTGCAGTAACCCTTCCTTCCCAAGAACTAGACGACACATAGGCTGGGAGTCAACTGAGGTTTTAATCACAGGTCACAGTATTTATGCAATTCCCCATGCAAGGGGTTTCCAAACAGACATTACAGGGGTTGTACAGGAGGGGACTACATGGGGGACTTACAGTACTACATATTTCTCCCATCAGGCACCGCTGCACGAGAGGGATCATCCTCCCAGAATGCACCGTTAAGGGGATTATCCCCTCGTGCAGCAGAACCGGCAATTCACACAAAAATCCACAGCTGGTACAATATACGGTGGATTTACACGAATGGACGTTCGGTAGATAGCTGGGGTCTGGGCGCATCATTCGTGAGATTGCCGCTCAGATCCCAGCTAAAATAACCGAACGCCGCACAGAAAACACCTTTCTTTCAAAACACATGAAAAGAACCGATTGTCTTTAGTGAACCTGGTCCTGAAACTCCCGAACGTCCTGGAGGCTTAACGGTGTTCGTGCCGTCGAATAACTGTTGGGAATGCTATGCGTTCGACGACACGGACCCGCTGACGAACCAGGGATCCAAGATGGCCGCCCGCCGCATGGTCGGTAGTCGAACGACGGCCACCCAGGAGAGCCTCTAATAACCGATTGCAACAATGTTGCAATCGGTTAACTAGCGCCACACGCCTCTAAGTGTGTGGGCTATTAGGGGGTATCGCATTCGTTTCACGAACGGCCCTCCAAAGTGCCGTTCGCGAAACGAACGGGAATCCCCATACAAACCGCCATTTGCATTCGGCGGAACAGATAGGTACAGGCAATGCAGGGAATACATGAAGCAGGCACATACAGGTACAATGCATCTCTCTCCAGACCTATAGGCAACCCTTAAAGGCATAGTGTCCAGTTATAGTCCGAGTGGCTAGGTTTGCCACACCAACAATAAATAAAATTTAGAAGGGCAAGCTACTTGGCAGACCTTGTAACACACAGCCATTTGGAACCATCCCAAACAGTGTCCACTTGGCTCCAACCCACGAAGGGAATCTACAAGTGTGGACACTGAAAGGCATGTGATTTTATTCTACCCAACGAATCGGTTGGAGATCTCTTAGGAGATTACTATCAATGCCTTCATCAACTGCAGTTCCACTAATGTAATTTATCTCATAACATGTATTTGTGGCTTACAGTAGGGATGTGCATGGGCAAAAAATTTGGTTTGGTTCGGACTTCCGAAATTCGGGACTTTTGCAATTCGGGACTTCGGCAATTTGGTTCGGCACTTCGGCACTTCGGCACTTCGGTTCGGTTCGGTTCGGCGCTTCCAAAATTCGTGACTTCAGCACCTCGGAACTTCAGGAATTTGGCAGTTCCCTAATCCTACTCCTAACACTACCCCTAACACTGACCCCACCACTAACTCTGACCCCTAACTCTACCCCAATCCTAAACCCTAACCCCACCCCAACCTTAAACCTACACCCAACCCCACCCCTAACCCTACCCCAACCCTACCCTTACCCCAACCCTACCCTTACCCCAACCCTACCCCAACCCTATCCCTAACCCCTAACCCTACCCTAAACCCCTACCCCAACCCTAACTCAACCCTACCCCTAACCATAACCCCAA